TTAGGAAGGAGGGGTAAGTGGACTCTCCCACTCTAGTGTGCTGGGGGTGCTCCAGGATGGAGCTACATATACACTACATATGAATAGGAATACTAAATTCTTATGGACTTTATTTTTACATATTACAGAAATATACTGTATCATTCATTGCACATATATGTCCCTGTATAAAATCACTCAATGTTTATTAAACTTAATACAAGTGAACATTTCTTAAAGAAATGGAAACAAATTACTACCCTGTCTCTTTAAGCATTTGTGATTATATTATTGCATCATTGCACGCTGCCTTTGGCATTTTAGACACCGCCCCCACATTGAAACAGCATGGACAACATCATTTTAAATAAATGTTTTTACTTCTGAAGTGCTTGTGATTAAGGTCAAGTTTAACTAATATCCTTCATGAGTATAAGAGCCAATATAAGTTAGCCTTAAAAGGCTGTTTTTGTTCAGAGTCCTAATTCAGAGTCCTAAAATGCATTGCACTTGAAATACTGCTATTGTGTCACTAAAGTGTTAAATATTTACAGTATGTTCTCCCCCAAAATCACATCAGTTGCAATAGATGTGTGGCATGCCTCTCCCCTGCCCCTGCTTCCCCCTCCTCCCCCACAGCATTGCTCATTCTCTTATGGCTACCTGCACTTGTAACACAGCATAAATCCACAACACCCATAGCTCTGACACTTTGTTTTTTTAACCGTATTCAACACATGGATAGGTCCAGCCATTCAAGTTTATTATTACTTGTAATCAAGCTCTTTACAGAAAGGAAACTACAGGGACTCAAGCCACAAACACTTGCTGCCACCACCACGGACATTTGTATTGCACATAGTTGTTTTTTTTAATTATCTTAATTTTTCTTGGCAGTGGCCCCAGACTTTAAGACTCTCTGTCGTCCTTCTGAACCCCAGCCAGGATACATGCTACAGGAGCCAGGCCATAACCATTGAGACAGTAACTCAGAAATGTTAAGTTGTTTCATCAGCACAGATCCTTCATGTGGATGCATCATTTTTTCCCATTTGCAATTATCTTCCTCAGCCCTCTGCTCCAACAGTTGGATCATGGAATATGCCCTGAAGTCATGACAGTATCAACCTTAATTTTTAATTTTCTTGCTCTTGTTGATTTTTGTTTCTTACTCTTAGATGTAGAGGGTTTCATGTGTGTTATACTTCCCGGGGGGATAGTTTCCTGTCCATGTCTGTGTTTAACTCCATTTGACATTAATGGAAGTTATGTCCCTATGCTTAAAAATGTCTAAACATTAGAGCTCCTTAAGGTACTCCGTGCACAGACAACTTTCTCTTTCCTCTGTTTGGGTAGATTTTGTTTTTGTTTGTTTTTTGTTTTCTTTACATAGAAGTCAGTGTCAGGAAGAGCCTTTATTTTAATTTAATTTTATTGTATTAAGCCAAACAAACTGGAGTGAAATCTTGATCCCATTGCAGTCAGCAGTAAAACTCCCACTGACTTCAGTGAGCCCAGGATTTTGCACTTGGCATCCCCAGGAATGATAGCAGCAGCAGGCCCTCGCATCCAAATGCGTCTCCTTTGGGTAATGTTTCTACCTTCCCGCTCTTCAAGCAACAAATCAAATCATTACCAAGTGTCTGTCAATGTTCTGATCCCTTTGAGGAAATGGCTGAGGGACAACAAAGCCATAAATTGAAAGGAAAAAAATCTCCTCTTGATCTCTGTATTATGCAGATAGAACAGATAAACAGCAAACTAAAGCTCTCTCACTTGCTTTAACATATTCCCTGCTGCTCATGGACAGATTTAGGGATACGCTGTGCATTCCACAGTATGATTTTTTTTTTTCAGTATGGGAATGAGCCTTAGGTTCATCTTAAGTTGCTTTCTATGTCTATTTACAAATCTTTTAGGCAACTTTGACCCCTCTGATGTCAGGGTCCTTGCATGGGCCTCCGGCTCTTGAGCCATGTCTCCTACCATCCCAGGCAACCCCATTGTACAATTGTATTAAAAAATGTGTCCATCTCTCACTCTCAAAACGAATTACACTGTTGGCCCACACAACTCCCATTTGGAAAGTGTTCCAGAACCTCACCCCTCTGAAACCTTCTTCTAATTTCCTGCCTGAATTTGTTCATGGCAATTTATATCCACTTGTTCTTGTGCCAACATTGTCCTTTAGCTTAAATAGCTCTTCACGCTCCCAGGTATTTGCCCCTCCCTCCACTGTATATAGAGAGAGTAGGGCTGTCAAGCGATTAAAAAAAAAATCGTGATTAATCACACTGTTAAACAACAATAGAATACCATTTATTTAAATATTTTTGGATGTTTTCTACATTTTCAAATATATTGATATCAATTACAACACAGAATACAAGGTGTACAATGCTCACTTTATATTTATTTTTATTACAAATATTTGCACTGTAAAAACAAAATAAATAGTATATTTCAATTCACCTGTGGAAGTAGACACACCTAATACAAGTACTGTAGTGCAATCTCTTTATAATGAAAGTTGAACTTACAAATGTAGAATTATGTACAAAAAATAACTGCATTTAATAAATAAAACAATGTAAAACTTTAGAACCTACAAGTCCACTCAGTCCTACTTCTTGTTCAGCCAATCACTCAGACAGACAAGTTTGATTACTATTTGCAGGAGATAATGCTGCCCACATTTTGTTTACAATGTCACCTGAAAGTGAGAACAGGCATTCGCATGGCACTGTTGTAGCTGGCATCTCAAGATATTTACATGCCAGATGCGCAAAAGATTCATATGTCCCTTTATGCTTCAACCACCATTCCAGAAGACATGCGTCCATGCTGATGATGGGTTCTGCTCGATAATGATCCAAAGCAGAGTAGACCGATGCATGTTCATTTTCATCATCTCTAGTCAGATGCCACCAGCAGAAGGTTGATTTCCTTTTTCGGTGGTTCGGGTTCTGTAGTTTCCGCATTGGAGTGCTGCTCTTTTAAGACTTCTGAAAACAAGCTCCACTCCTCGTCCCTCTCAGATTTTGGAAGGCACTTCATATTCTTAAACCTTGTGTTGAGTGCTATATCTATCCTTAGAAATCTCACATTGGTATCTGCTTTGCGTTTTGTCAAATCTGCTGTGAAAGTGGTCTTAAAACGACCATGTGCTGGGTCATCATCAGAGACTGCTAACATGAAATATATAGCAGAATGTGGGTAAAATAGAACAGGAGACATACAATTCTCCCCCAAGGAGTTCAGTCACAAATTTAATTAACGCATTATTTTTTTAACGAGCATCATCAGCATGGAAGCGTGTCGTCTGGAATGGTGGCTGAAGCATGAAGGGGCATATGAATGTTTAGCATATCTGGCATGTAAATACCTTTAAATGCCGGCTACAAAAGTGCTATGCGAACACCTGTTCTCACTTTCAGGTGACATTGTAAATAAGAAGCAGTCAGCAGTATCTCCCGTAAATGTAAACAAACTTGTTTGTCTTAGCAATTGGCTGAACAAGAAGTAGGACTGAGTGGACTTGTAGGCTCTGAAGTTTTACATTGTTTTGTTTTTGAATGCAGTTATGTAGCAAAAAAAATCTACATTTGTAAGCTACACTTTCACGACGCAGAGATTGCACCATAGTACTTGCATGAGGTGAATTGAAAAATACTATTTCTTTTGTTTATCATTTTTACAGTGCAAATATTTGTAATAAAAAATAATAATATAAAGTGAGCACTGTACACTTTGTATTCTGTGTTGTAGTAGAAATCAATATATTTGAAAATGTAGAAAAACATCCAAAATATTTAATAAATTTCATTTGGTATTCTATTGTTTAACAATGTGATTAATCGTGATTAATGTTTTTAATCTCAGTTAATTTTTTTGAGTTAATCATGTGAGTTAACTGCGATTAATCGACAGCCCTAATAGAGAGCAATCATATCCCCCCCCCCATCCTTCTTTTTGCTAGAATAAACAAGCCAACCTTTTCCAATCTCCTTTTATAAGATAGAACAATCAGGGGGAAGGGAGAGCCTATTAGCTCATCGCTGTGCCTTTTCTATTTAAATATATCTTTCTTGAAGAGGGGGGAAGATTTCCTGAGACTGGATGCTCAGGGAGCAGGATAGAGAGCAGGTGAAGGACTCTTAAACATCTGTAGTACTATAAATGCTTATAAACATTCAAGAGTTGGTTTGCAGTAATGGGAGTTCACAATAAATAAAGAAAATAAACATAAATGTGACTTCTCAATATATTAATGCTGTATCAAGCACTCAAAGGAAAATGTTAGCTGTGTGAGCTTATCCTTATACCATATTTTGATCTACAAAAATAGAAATTGCTGAAGAATGTAGTAAAAAGAACAGTGTGTGTGAATGATAGATACACAGAGAGAGAGAGAGATACCTGGATAGATTTCCAGAATAGGACAGATCCTGTAGTCCTCAGTCAGGCAAAAATCCCCATGGAGGTCCACTCTGGTTCAATTCTGGCAGCTTCTAAAATATAGAACATTCTGAGCTCCACTGTGGGACTCATAAACTATTAAAAATGATACTACCCTATTCCTGTACATTATCACACTCCCATTGATTTTGTAGGGTATGAGGGCACTCCCTAAAGGCTTGATGCTGCAGCCAGTTAACCTTGACCTATTAGCAACATTTTGGAGCAAGCCTCCCAGCCTGAGTGGAGAGATCTAGGCTAGCAGGGCTTGCGCTAGTGCTCTAAAAATAGTTATATAGACATCGCTTTGAAGATGTGGCTTGGGCTGGCGCTCGGGCTCTGAAGCCACAACTTCAAACAACTATCTTTACAGCACTTTTGAGCACTAACGTGAGCCCTGCTAGCTTGTGTCTGTCGATCCGGGCTGGGACGCTCTCTCAAAAATGCTGTAGACATACCCTTAGATGGAGCAGGGGAAATATAAAGGCAGCAAGGGGGAGGAGTGGAGGGAGAAATACCTGGGTATGAGCTGGAGCCCTGCCAACAGATCTCTATGTGGAAACTCTTGACTGTAGTTGCTGCCTTTGTTCTGCAATAGCTGTTTTTTTTTTCTGCTTGGACTCTTTGTAAATTCTCATAAAGATGGCGCTGGGAAGAAGTGACCACAACTGACTGACTGTTTTATTTTCTTGGGCAGGGAAATCTGTGCACCAGTCCACAGGGAGTTTTACTTTAGTAAAACCTGATGGATCAGGTCCATAATTGGTTAGTTAGCTTTTTTATTCAATATTATCAATTTTATCTATCATTTATTGCTGAGTGTTTCCCCTCATTTATTAACCCTTCTTCCTTCCTTTCCTTTATATCTTAACTCCCCTGTTTTTCTTGGTCCCTTCTCTCCTATTTTTTCATTCATTTTATATTTGTTTCCTTTTCTTCATATTTATCCCTTCTTTATTTTAGCCTTTCTGCCTTTATTTTCTTTTTTCTTCATCTCTCTCTTTTTTCACATGTACGTATCTGATATTGAAATCACCAGGAGGCACATTAGGAGGCCCCAGAGCTCACCTTGAACTAGAGAAATAGAAAAAGCTTGCTCATGCTATAAACAGAATGCTAATTTCAATTAATTGATGGAAATGCTTTTCCATGCTTTTAGGAAAGAAAGGTGTACTACAGATGCAATATTTGCAATGAGGCAAAAGTTTGAAAGAACGATAAATGGAGGGCATAACTGCTATGTAGCTTTTATTGATCTTGAGGGAGCTTATGACTTGGTTCCACAGGAGTTGGTGTTTGGAGTATTGAGATGGATGGGAGGGGGAATGCAAGAAGTAGGGAAGATAGAGGAGCTGAAGTGAGGGTCAAGAGCTAAGGTGGTAATGATACATGGAATTTCAGAGAGTTTTACAGTGATGATGGGTTTGAGACAAGGCAATGTGCTGAGTCCATTTCTCATCGTCCTAGTTATGGAGTTAATTAGCAGGAGAACCAAGCTTGTGGAAAGGCAGAGAAAACTCATATATATTGCTGACAATCTGGCCCCTTTGGCTTATAGCAAAGAGGAATTGGTAAATATGGGATCAGACTAGGCTTCTGTGTTTGAAGAGCATGATTTGAAGGTAAACACAAAGAAATCTGAAGTAGAGAAGGTGGAAGAATAGCTGTTGATTGACGTTTCAGGAGAGAAGCTGAATCAAAAGAAAGAATTTGTGTACTTGGGAAGTACACTTGGTGCCATGGGAGAGAGATCTGGAGAACTGAAAAGAAGAAACCAGTGTGCCTGGGCCTCAGTCAGAGAGGCAGCAGGAGTACTATGAGACAAGCAGTTAAGTAAACTAAAAGGAAAAGTGTATGTTGCGTATGTTTGACGCTGCCTGGTTTGGAAACAGTGGGTCTTACGGAAATGAAAAAAGAGAAGAAACAGGCAGTAGAAAATAATATACTGAGGAGATTAGCAGGCAAGCAGAGGGTAGACAGAGTGCGCATGGAAGAAATTAGGGGAAAGATGAATTTAGGACTCTCAGGCTGGAGAACACATGTTTGAGGCAGGCTTAGAAATGTGATAAGAATGGGTGAAGAACGACCATCAAACAAAGCATGGGAGGAAGAGAACAGCAGGAAAGGATGTGGAAGACCTAGCATACAATGGAAATACTTTGTCAAGAGAACTTTGAAGAGAAAAGGACTGGAACTCCAAGACCTCGGAACCTGTGCTGTGGACTAGAAGAAGTGGCAAAGGATCGTGGGCACCTCCCACCCTTTGAAAACAGGACAAGGAGTCAGAAAGTGAAGTGAAGGAAATGCTTTTCCTGTGAATAACTTCAGCCAAAGTAGTAAACATTAGGGGCTGTGATTATTTTGCTCTCAATTATACCAGTATCAGTCTGAAGTTAATACATTGGTATTAATGGCACTTCGCTGGTTTGACCCTTAGAGCAAAATCTGGTCCCATAATTCCATGAGAGACAAACATAAAAACAACCCTCCATAAGTAGGCTTGGCAGAACTCATTTTTTCTATATAATTTCAGTGGATAATATTGTTTTGTTTTTAACATTTTATCAATCTTAAATTTTTACAGTTGCAGGAAATTATGGAGGGTCAGAGAATTATTTAATGACAGTAGATGTTTAGATTCAAAAAGTTAAAGCTTTATAACCCTAAAAACACAAATTGTCAACATCACATGTCAAAATATACAAAATAAATATCCTTAAATCAAACTGTAAATTCTCAAGCAGCATATTTCTTACTTTGCCTTTCTATAAATTTCAGTTATAGATGGAAACATTTTTTTTCACCTGTATGTATGGTGAAATTGACATTTACTGATATTTATTGATAAAAATCTAATCCTTCCAAGTATACACACAATCCATATTTTGGTAAAATGTGCAAGATTTGAAATTTGCTGCAGTGACTTAAGTGGTTTCCTTGTTCATGCCATGCCATTTAAAATTAATGCTTTCATAATAGCATTAGGTCCAATGCTCCCTCTCGAGTTGCATGCTGAAGACATCTCTGTATTCTAGCACCCCCTACCTCTCATTGATAGGGGAGGGGTGATTCAACAGCCTCTTCTTATGGACCAGGAAGGGGACACTTCTTGAGTGCTGGGATCTACATGGGGGAAGAGGAGTAAATGGGGGAGGGCATAAAGCTGTGGAAAGGAGGCATAGAGTCCTTGAAGAGCTCATGGCAGAGAAATAATACAGTTCCAGGCGCCGTGATATTTCTGCAGCCCATCTCCATGGTGTGGCTCTCTTAAGGATCACCTCTATGTTGTGGGAATCTTGCTGGAGGGATCATCATTGACCTAGAGCCAGCAAAGGATCAAGGGCCCTCTACTGGGTGGCCTGGACCTTCTGTTAAGATCCATTTAGGAATCTGAAGGAAATGGGGGGTCTTGCACCAGTGCAAGTGGGCAACAACCCTCCCTTCTCAATGGAAGGATCAGACATGTCTCTCTGAGGTAAAATTTACATAGATGTCCTGCCCTTTTGCTCCCCCCTGTGGATATTCCTGCAGGAGACAGGCCCTCTATTAATTTCAAATATAATATCACACCTCAAGCTACAAAGCCAAATGTTTTCCTCATCAATAATACTTGAATGTCATGAAGAAAACACTTCAAGCCAGAAATTAGAGAAACAACCTGTATTATCATACAAGTATGGTTCAAATCATGTATTTATAATCATATGATGATTTCTCAGAGAAACTACAACAATGATGAGAGGCAAATTACCAAGTAAATGCTTTATTGGCCATGGTAACATGATACAGGAGAGAGAGGAGAATAATTTGGGCATCCTCTCTTAATGCCTCAAAAACCAATAGCTGTCTTCATCTTCCACGGTCTTTCCTCAAGAATCTGTGGCTTAACACATCTGTCTGTTCTAGTCTATATAAGTTCTTATACCACACTCATTGCCATAGTATCTGAACACCTTCCAGTAGAATGTTAAGCAACATGTCTAGTATCTGACACGTTTGTACTCTTGTCCTCTCCCCAGGGGAAGAAACATGCAGTGGAGTGCTTTGTTTTGGAATTGTTTAAATAAATATATGTCCATACACAAAAATTACTGTTTGCTAGAATACAAGTTTAAAAAATGAACCTTATATATACAGCAGAAGGTGATGAGGTTTGTGATGGCCCTTATTCCTGTGAGAGTTCATTCCAGAGGCTTGGATCAGCACTTGAGAAAGCACTGTCTCCTGCACAGACGAATTTTACCCTTATTGCAGAGAGTTCAGTTTTGTCAGAGGAACGAAGTTGTCAAACACAGTCTTCATCCCAGAGCCTTAGTAATCTTTTAGATATCTGGAGCTCAGGCCATCTAAGTGTCTTAGGAATAAGGACAGAGACCAGAAACCAGACACTTGTTTAAGATAAGATCTTGTAATCATTGCCAAATAATGCTGTAAGAAGGAAATAAGAGAATTCATGTGCAAACAGAAGGTAGGAGATTCCTTCTACTTTAATGTAAGAAAAGGTGAGCTAATTTGTGCAGGGCTGATGCTGATTGAAATAATGTCTATGGCCAGTAGACTGGAGAAACTGGTCTGTAGCAGTTCACTGAAATGAGGATATTACTGCTGCACTGCTTCTGAGGTCAATGTCAGTTTGCATTATCTACCCTATAAGTACCATTCCTTCAACCCAGACTGAATCTGGCTAGATCAAATTGGACAGTTATATATTTTTTAAATGAAAACATAATAAATAATAAATACGTTTGCAACCAAACATTGGTGTTTGTTATATTTCAGTTAGTAAAGAGAGGGGTTTTTAATGATAAATGTCAATATTTTGAATTTCCTACATTAGGAGTTAAGAGTCTGATCCACAACCCATAAATGCCAATATGAATCTTTCCGTTGACTTTAGTGGGTTTGGGATCAGAGCCTGAAACTGTACTGTGCTGCACCAACCTCAGCTTTCTTGTAGTGGTTGCATAGTTGCAATAGTTAAACTAGATTAAATGAGAGGTCTTAGTATGAGGAGAGAGGATCAGACTGCTGGCCAGCTGAAATGGGAGAAGGCAATCTACTGGTCAAATTCATACTGCTCAATCACATGATCTGTATTTGGCCAATTTCTAGCTCCATGTCAAGGAATGGCTGTTATTGATTCAAGGAGCCTTCTTCCTTTTGCCACTGGTCTCATCTTCTTTAACACATGATAAATACTGTCTCTACTAAAAATATCTGAAGCCTACTTGTCTTGGTGTGGTAAGACCAGCATCAGTAGATCAATGGTTCTTAATCGTTCCACACTGTGACCCCATGCTACAACAGAAGAAAGTTTCAATGCCTTCCCCCCCACACACGCTATCTACCCATAAAGAAAAGGAGGGTGGCTGTGACCCTCTGGACCTGTTTGTGATACCCAGGCTGAGAATACATGTAACAGAGAATGAGAATTAATGTTCCACAGTCGATTACACCAGACAATGATTTTCATAAATTTTCCCAATCACAAGTAAAAAGTCATGTAACTCCTGTTCTGCATCTGCTTTCAAGTCATGCTTACAGACACCATGAGAATAGGTCAAAAAACAAATCAATAAAAGTCTCATTATAAGGCAGGTAAGCCAGTGAAGTGAAAGGCAGATCAAAGATTTAATTGCTGCCTATTAAATATATTGGAGGGGAATATAAATGAGTTTTAGCAGAGCATGATAAGAGGATCTGGTTTTGTTCCAAATAAAATTGTTTTTTATCTATCAAATTGGCAAATACATAGTCAATTTCTTTCTGATTTTTCTGATATAGGGTAACATCTAGATCTGCAATAGTTTTGAATAGTATTCAGATTTAATGAATACAACTTCTTAAATCTAATCAACTACTGATGTGCATCTACAATTTAGGTAGGCAAGCATTATTAGTTGGCCTTTGTAGAACTGCAGAGATTTTCAGAATCCTATGTATTTCCTTTCTAGCTGTGATTACAGAATTATGACATCTGGAATGACGTCAGATGTAAATACTTCAAATGAAAAAAAATCAGAAATTGATTAGAAAAATCAGACAGATCTACAAAATAATTATATTTTGAAGGCCTCTGGCCCTCCCTGTTTGTTTTACATTACGGGACACTTAAAGAGATCTCACTTCCCACTGAATAATGTCAGTCTTGAATTTCTAATGATTAGAGAGTTGTGGTGGTTGCATTCAAAGGTGTAGCAATTGGAAGTAACGTTGGCTTGCCTATTTTTTATGAAATTACACATTGATTTTAAAACTTGATCCTGTACCAATGGAGCTACACAACTTTACATAGCTTACAATCTGACCTGATATATTTTTTGTAGCAATTGACAATTCTGTATAGCTGAATGATCTTTGTTCTTTTACTCACCTGCATTTCTTTAGCTTTCATATTAGTTTTTATTTTTAAAAGATCTATTTCCCACTGCAAAGAGCAACTGAACTGCCTAAAAGCACAAGAATTTCAAATTCACTTTTATTTCTAGTTCTGTTCTCTTTTATCCTTCTAGGATAAATACTTGAAGCCTTTGATCATTGATCCTGATAACCCAGAGAGGTACTCGCAAGTGCTTGTGGACCCCAACAAACTATACAATGTGGTGAAGAAAGCACGAGAGCAGAAATCCCACCAGGAAGTTAGCCTGTTGAATGGACTCATAGATCTCGTGTTCAGCACTCAGGAGCTAGCAGTAGCCCATGGGCTGGGGCTGAAAGGGAAGGATAAAGAAGAAAAGGCCCTCAACAGGGTAAAAGTATCAGCCTGTGAAGGTAAATATTATTTTTAAAAGGCCAAATGATTGATTTGATGTAGAAACAGGTCTGAACTAAAATAATGGAGCCTGAATACCCTGCCACTAGGGGGTAAGGAACTCCCATTCTTGGCTGGAGCTACTCCTGATTTATGCTGGTGCAAATGGAAGGAGAAGCAGGCCCACACTTTCTAACTGAAGTGATCAATTTGTGTCTTCTGGCATGGCTAAAAGAGCACAGATTTGTTAATAAACAATGTAACTTCCCCTGAGCTGCGCAGATCTTGTTGAGTTGAATTTTCTAGCAATGATTTTCAGCTTTTTCTCACTCTTACTAGCTTCTCCCCTTCTTCTTTCAGGGAACAGTCTCTCATTTTATCTCCCATTGCTAGTACCTCTTAGTCTTTGTGTCTCTGTTTCTTTAATCCTCCCTTTAATTCATACCCGCAGCTACTATTTTCTGAGTCTGTTCTCTCACTTCCTCAGCTTTCTGGCTCACTAGCCCCTACACTCTTTATGTACTTAAACTTCAAGATCATCGCTTGTTATGTCCACACCCTCCTTCTGCTCCTGCTCCTCCTCAAGTAGATTAAAATTGTACATCTTGGATTACCTAATGGAACTGGAATAAATATTTAGAAAACAGGCACAGTGACTCTGTCAAGGCTGTATCCCCACTTTGAACTTTAGGGTACAAATGTAGGGGCCTGCATGAAAACTTCTAAGCTTAACTACCAGCTTAGCTCTGGTCCCGCTGCCACCATTCCCAATGGATTCCCTCCCTGGGAAGCCTTGAGAAACCTCTCACCAATTCCCTGGTGAATACAGATCCAAACCCCCTCCTTCCTTTCACCAACTCCTGGTGAATACAGATCCAAACCCCCTTGGATCTTAAAACAAGGAGAAATCAATCTGGTTCTTAAAAAGAAGGCTTTTAATTAAAGAAAAAGGTAAAAATCATCTCTGTAAAATCAGTATGAAAAATAACTTTACAGGGTAATCAAACTTAAAGAGCTCAGAGGTTCAAAGTACAGCAAACAAAGATAAACACTCTGGTAAATGGTACATTTACAAGTTGAGAAAACAAAGTAAAACTAAGACGCCTTGCCTGGCTTTTTTACTTACAAGTTTGAAATAGGAGAGACTTGTTTAGAAAGATGGGGAGAACCTGGATTGATGTCTGGTCCCTCTCAGTCCCAAGAGCGAACAACCCTTTAAAACAAAGAGCACACACAAAAGCCTTCCCCCCCCAAGATTTGAAAGTATCTTGTCCCCTTATTGGTCCTTTGGGTCAGGTGTCAGCCAGGTTACCCGAGCTTCTTAACCCTTTACAGGTAAAAGGATTTTGGAGTCTCTGGCCAGGAGGGATTTTAGTACTGTACACAGGAGAGCTGTTACCCTTCCCTTTATAGTTATGACAGACTCCTCTAATCTATGTATTTTAAAAGTTCCCAAACCATTCAGCAGTATCCCTGCACCTAGCTGAGATCTGATCACATGCATGAATGCACCTCCAAATGCAGCAGAAAGGATTTACCCTTTTGATCATTATGAATTATTTACAGAACTGATTTGTTTCATACATGGCACAAAAGAACTAGCTCAGCCCAGTCCATTCATACCTATGCCTCTGATGCTGTTGCTCGTGTGCTGATGTTTGTAACATGGTGATCTGCACCTTTAAGGGCCTGTTTAGTGATAGAGACCCTTTTAACAATAGGTGTTTGAGCTTGGGTGAAGGGATTATTGGACTGAGCTGGAAGGGACCAGGTGACTGCTATAAAGAGCTGAAAGAGCTCAGCTGAAGGGGAGCTGCAGGAAAGAGGTTGTCTTTTGTGGCAGGCCCTAGAGCAGGGGTGTGTGCAAGGGGGAAAGTCTCTGAGCCCCTGCAGCTTGGTTTGGTCGGGGGATGGTTGTTTTATTTACCTTGATTGATTTTGTGTTTCAATATTAAACTGTCCCCTGAAGAAAGGGCCTAAACAGACTCTTAGTGTGGTGTTTAATGCTTCCTGGGCTGGGGAGACAGGCCAGCAGCTTACAGTGCCATTGCACACTCTTGCCTGGTCTACACTGGCCTTAATTTCTTAAAATTTTCCACTGTTTGCTACCGCCAGTTCAGCTCTCCGAATTGGAGCAACAGCATGAGTGCTAGTGTAGGGAAATGTTGGCTACCAGTGTGCTAACCACAAGGTCATCTAGACCTGCTCTGAGCTAGTTAGCACACAGCTCAGGGTCTTCAGATATTTTTATCCATGCAGGCGCAGAAGGCCGCTAAATGTTACCATCTGCTCTCTGGCACTGAGTTTGCTGTGGGACCCAGAAACCAGACACCTGTGTGGAATAAGTTCTTGTAATAAATCATTGCCAAACAATGTTGTAAGAAGTATGTGAGTAAATTCAAATGAGCAGAAGTAAAACTGGGATAACACACGCAGGGCTGAGGCTGATGGACTTGGGAAATCATGCCTGTGGCCAGTAGACTGGAGAAACTGGTCTGTAGCGATTCACAGAAGTGCTGATATTACTGCTGCACTGCGTCTGATGTCACTGTCAATTTGAACTACCTACCAGGCAAGCACCAATCATTCAACTGAGACCAAACCTTGGGTTAGGTCTAAACTGCATAGTTAACTTTTCCTAAACTGCTCCATTTTTCATTCATGAATTTGGGTTCCTGCTTTGTTATGGCCATAACAATTCCTGCCACTTAATGTCCTGTCCACCCTTATTTATATACACATGCCTCATATCTGCAGTGTAACCAGAGGTGAAAGTAACTTAAAGGACTTACTGGTACTCCGGAGTCCTGAGCAGAGAGCGTGGCCTCCACCGGAAGAGGCATGGCCTCAACTGGAAGAGCAGGGCCTTTAAGTTCCCAGGGCCCTTTAAATCAAGATTTAAAAGCCCCTGGGCTCCGACTGTGGCTGGGAGCCCTGGGGCCTTTAAATCACCCCTGGAGCTCCCAGCTGCAGAGGCGGCTGTGAGCCCCGGGGCTCAGGGGCGATTTAAAGGGCCCGGGACTCCCGCTGCTACCACAGCGGCGCTCCAGGCCCTTTAAATCACCATGGAAGCCCTGCTGCGCTACCCCAGGGCTCCGGCAGTGGGGCTTAGGTGGCGCTTTAAAGGGCCCGGGGCTCCAGCCGCTGCGGGGAGCCCCGGGCCCTTTAAATCACCGCCCGAGCCCTGCTGCCGCTACCCCAGGGCTCTGGCAGTGGGGCTCAGGAGGCGATTTAAAGGGTCCGGGGCTCCAGCCACTGCGGGGAGCCCCGGGCCCTTTAAATCACCAGCCAGTCTGGTCCGGCGCAGCATACTGGCTTTTGCCAGTATGCCGTACCGGGCGGTACCAGCTTACTTTCACCTCTGAGGGTAACACATTTTCCAGAAGTAGAAGTTCCTTGTACAACTTTTCTAGTGACATGCCTGAAATCCAAGCTTGTTTACTATGCAGAAGCCCATCCCTGTTCAGGGCACCATGTAAGCATATGTTTAACTTAAAGCACATTGACTTCAGTGAGACTTAAGCATATGCTTCAAGTTAAGTATTGATTTAGTTGCTAAATTCTCTTCTGAATCTTATCCATAGATAATACTGTACATTTAAAGTCAATTACACTTCTACTTAGATTTTGTAAAAGTATGGTGAAACAAATTATTCGGTGTGACTTTCTGAGATTTTATTATTAATGTGTCTTATAAAATGTCTAGGACATTAATCAAATCAATTATACATTTTAACTATATGACCTTATTTCACCTTTACGTATGTAAATAGATTTTAATTGAAGCTCCTTCTTATAGCAAGCAGCAATAAATCTGAGTGGGAATATAACCAGAAACTGAAATAAAAATATAGAATTTTAATTTTAATACAGCAGGTGATCCTGTTGCCCAGGATAGTAAGTGACTCAGGAGAGGAAGTCACTAACGGAGCAGTGAGTTTATTTAGAGCCAGTTTCCCTCTCTGTGGTGTTTGGTTTGGTTTGGAAGAGACTTGATACTGCCATAATTTAAGCTTCATTCTATAAACACAGCCTTGGCTTTCACTCTGCTTCACTCTTTCCTTACTTCACATTTTCCGGGCATTTCCTGCCAAGCTACGTTTACTCTTTTTCGTAGCAGATTACTGCCAGCTATCTCCTGGTTTCCCTCACACTAAGTCCCTTTAGGCACCATCACAGTTCTTTTGGGTGACTCTTCCCTTTGAACTGTGAAAGAGCAGCACAGAAACTCCCAAGTTCTGGGAACTGGTAGTCTGGCAGCACCTTGTTCATGTCATAAATCAGGCTGACAGATCACTAAATATTATTTGATATGGCCTGAATTGAAATGCATATTGACGTTGGAAAAGCCCTTTTTCTTTTTATCCCTCAGAACTTTCACATGGTTTTCTTTTCCTGTCCAAAGATGTGGCTGGTGAATTTTCATTGGTTGTAGAAAGTTGAAATGTTACTCTTCATTGTAAATTAATTTCTTTTATAATACTCTGTCTGTGTACACACAGTGGCTGATCAGAAAAGGGTTGTGTTCTGCTTCATCCTAACATTTGAACTAAGCAAAAAGCGTGAACAAAGGGGAAGGGGATTTAGTTTCTCATTAACAATGTGTCCCCCATCTTGAAAAAAGTGTAATATAAAGCCACAAGCTATTAAAGATGTATACTGCATATGCATGTTTAATAATTCATTGTAAAGTCTGCCTGGGTGAACTATAGATCATATAATTATAGAAATGAAATAGACAAGATTAACTGGGCCAAAATTTCAAAAGGTAGAAGATGTGGCATGGCTGGTTGAATAGGCTGCAAAATCAGTGGCCACCGGGGTTCTCTGGATTATGGAGCCTTCCAGGGTTGCCCACTGAAGAGTGTTCATTCATGGCCCAGGCACATGAGAGTTCCATCTGAAGCCAAGGCTTGTATACACAGCCTTGCAGTGTGGGCAGGGGGTTGCACTGTAATTGCCCATGTAGACCCTGATAGCGTGAACTAAAAGGTACCTAGTTGACGGTAACATAGTCCTG